AACCTGAAGCATCTAATTTTTCTCCTCCCTTCCCAAGCTCCACTCTATTCCAACTCCCACCTCAATCTTTGTTTTTGTTTGTTTTTGGTTTTTAGGCAATTGGGGTTAAGTGACTTGACCAGGGTCACACAGCTAGTACGTGTCAAGTGTTTGGTCTGAGGCCGGATTTGAACTCAGGTCCTCCTGACTTCAGAGCCAGTGCTCTATCCACTGCGCCACCTACCTGCCTCCCACCTCAATCTTTCTAAGAGTAGGAAGGAAAAGTAAATTAATCACAGCTGAGGATGTAAGCACATTTTTAAACATGAAGGAAATCTACACAAATGCTAATAGCCAATAACAACATTTTAGCAGTTAATCTATCTGAGGGCTGAATGAATATCCTGCAGAAATTTTGTCTGCTGTGATGCTTTTACCAAGGACCACACTGTAGCCAGGGAGCTTCTAATGTGCATATACCCATGCCTGCCTGACCTGGAGCCAAGATATGTGTATCACAATGCAAAGCTGCAGGTCTAGTTAGCCTAAGACTTCATTTGTTTTATCTCCAGCCATGCACAAATTTTGTCTCAGTGTACCTCTGGGGGACAGAGCTTTAAGCTGATTATAAATATTGTCTTGTCCACTGACTTGCTTAGAGACCAAGATATCATTCTTATGTGAAAAAAAATCCATAGTCCTTATCCTTAAAATAGAAAACCTTTTAGGAAGAATACATGCCAACACATTCCTGGTTTACAGAAATAGGGTCCTCTTTTTCAGGATTTCTCCCATACAGAAAGGTGAGGCACTTGGGGAGAGACCTCCTTCAGAGAGAGGATTTTTGCCTGAAGACCTTTCTATGAATGAATTAGGGGCTTAAATCAAGGAGAAAATTCATTATAGATAAGCTGTGTTGCTGAATTTTTAGGCAGCTTTTTTCATAGCTATAACATTTCATTTTGTGCCTTCACTGTTTCCCTGTTAGATTAAACAAAGCAAAGCTCTCTTCTCCCTACTTTTCCTGCTCTGGGGAGTAGAAATTAGATGCAGCCAAATGTATTTTGATTTAAATGTCATCCAGGTTTCATGTGTGTAATCTCTAAATAACCAGCAGAGCACGTAAACTCCATGAAATTGTCTCATATCGGGGGAATGTTTGATTCTCTCCCTTCCTTTCCTCAGCCCAGCTATTGGCATGGTTGTAGTACATCAGCCATTTTATAAAATGGGGATGGAGTTTTTCTCTTTCTGCTTTTTAAAAGTCTTCCAGGTTTTCAAGTCCAAAAACATGTGTTGGCAGTTTGGCAAGCAAAACTAAAAACAGCTTTTATTCTTTTTCCTTCCTTTCCTTTCCCTGTTGCTCTACATTATTAATACAGCTTTGCACTTAAGAAAGTGGACTTTAAAAAAATTCAAGGTTGAAAAATGATTAAACCCTTTATGGAACTCTTTGGACTTATTAACTAGACTATCTAGTTCTCTTAGGTTATGTGCAGAAAACATTACCCGCTTATAACTGATACTTGTTCTCCTTCCGAAAGTGGGTATGGGAAGGGAGTACAATGCAGATGTTTTTGTTGAAGCATATTGGCCTTCAGACTTTTCCAGGCTATAGCACAGATCTGTTCTGCTTGGCCCTGTAGGCTAGAACCTAGAAGCAGTGGGTGGAAGTTGAAGAATAGCAGATTTAGGCTTGATATTCAACACAAACAAAAAAACCTTCCTGACAGAGACGTTCAACATGGGCTCTTCACTCTGAAAGTTACGAGTACGAGCTAGATTACCACTTGCTAGAAATGCTGTAGAAAGGATTCTTGTTTAGGTATGTGTTAGACCAGATGTCTTGAAGGTCCCTTCCAAGCATAAGATTCTGTGATCCTTTCAGGACATTTGGGTTGCTTCCATATTCCAATATGCCCTGAATTCAGTAGCCCTCAATTTTAATGCCCACTTTCTCCCCTGCCCTAAAGACATGGTCATTAAATAAATAAACATGTATATGTAATTAAGCAGTCAAATAAAGATCAACATTGTTTACCATTCAATTGACATGAATACTTCCCTAGGTGGATGGTTATTTGCACATCTGTTGTAGTAACATAGGCAGCTAAAACCAAAAATCTCCCTCACTCAGTTTTTCAAAATAGAGATTATTTCCAGAGGAAAGATGCCACAAATGCACATTTCAGGTCTGTTCTATACAGATGCATCCTAGTAAGTTTTTGGTGGGGGGGAACAATTGGTATTTCTATTTCACATTCCAGCAAACTTCAGAAAAGAGATCATCAGTCTCTTCTCCATAGCATCCTTCCCCAATAAACTTTTATCTTCCTCTTCACTAAAAAGAGCTGTATTAAAACTAGCAGGGAGATGACTGGAGCTGAGCTGAGAGTCAGGGCTGTGCTCTTCAACTAACTTTGCTTCAGCTCTCCTGCAGTGCTCAGCATGATTTAGGTTTGGGGGGTGGGGGATTGATCAGCCCCCAGCTTTCATTTGGGAAAAATATATGGCTCAAGGGAGAGAGCATATGAGAGAGAGAGAATGTGTGTGTGTGGCAGAAGGGAGAGAAGAGAACTAGAGGAAAAATAAGAAAAGTCTGGAGTCTTCAGTCATAGCACAGAAGAAAGAGGTACTTCTAAAATATCAAGGAATTTCTATGGAAAAAATTTCTTTAATTTTAACTAGCACAATTAAAGAAATAGCTTTAGTTTCCTCTCACACTAGACACCTTTCACTCTTTTATCTATTTTGGGCACATCCTTCTCTCTCAGTGCTTATTCCTTATTTGTTTATTTATGTGTGTATAATAAGCCCTCCATGGTGGCTTACTATACACACGTATGCACATACCTTCCCCAGTTAAGCCAGCAATCTTCATTTGTCTCCCTTTACCTTTGGGAAAATTCTACAAGTAAAGAAATGAGTGCCTAGCAAGAGTAGAGACTTGAGCTCCTGTCTCAGTTCCCCTCCTAAGATATTTGACATTTGTTCCTTTCAACAAAATCAGGTCATGCTATTGAATTTGGTGTTTCACCCATTGACTTTTCTATGCCAGTATTCTAGTTTTGCCCTCAATTTTCCAGATAAATCATTATTGAGACAGTTATTGAGGACAGAGTCTTTCTTTCTTTCTTTCTTTTTTTTGTTTAATTCCCTCCCTGCACCTAACCCAGCACCTGGCAGTCAATGGGTGCTTAATAAGTGCTTTTTAAATTGAATTGGCGCATCACCTTCCTTGCAAAATCCCAGCCACCTTTTTACTTCGCCTTATTTCTTTCACATTGACTTTTTGTTGTTGTTGTGTTTTTTTGTTTTTTGGGGGGTTTTGGTGAAGCAATTTGGGTTAAGTGACTTGCCCAGGGTCTCCCTTGAGTGTCTAGGAAGTGTCAAGTATTTGAGGCTACATTTGAACTTGGGTCCTCCCGACTCCAAGGCCAGTGCTCTATCCACTTCGCCACCTAGCTGCCCCTTTGACCTTATTTCTAACAAATAAAAGTCTTGTTTTCACTAAATTTAGTGTTTTGTTGCATCTCCTGTATCCAGATTTGCACCATCAAACAAGGTTCAAAGGAGCTTTGAGGAAAAGGACAGTGGCTACTTCCCATGCCCAGGAAAAGATCCTGGGGAATCTGGATTTTCTTTTTTTTTCTGCTTCTCTGCCAGGTTGGAAAAAAAAAAAAAGGAAATAGCTTGAGATAACTCAATTGGATTTGAAAACACACTTCTACCTAAATGGAAAGCAGCTGAGGTGTGATGGGTAAATTCTTTCTAGTGAACATTGCAGTCAAAAAACAGGTGTGGAAAAGCAGGGTTGAAGTGAGGGATGTGGAAGAGCAATAGGTCTGATGACGAAAGTGAAAAGGGAGAGAACTCATCAGTCACTGTTTCTAAAAGCAGAAAGGCCGATGAAACTGTGTGGTTCTGTTGAAGAGATTACAGAAAACTGTTGTCTCCAAACATGGTGTTGCAGACAATTTGTTGTAGAGGAAGGAGCAGCCGGGCAGCCTCAGTGGCGTTTTTTTTGTGTTACTCTTTGAATTACCAATGTTGATCTGTTTCCTTCCTTGTCTCCCTGGTGAGCAGGCTCTTGCAGCATGCAGGCTTGCGTGTATTCACATGCCACTTTAGAGAAGGTCTGGGGGGAGTGGCAAAATTATGGTTTAGTAATTCCACCCTGTCAGTGAGGAGCTGAGGCTAGATTTGAGTTTTACCTACTCATTGCTCATCCACACAAGAAGGCAAAATCCCCTCCATCTTCAGTTGTATTTCCATGCAACCGTTATAAAGTCTATAGCATTGCATTGGCCCCTTTATGGCCTGCACAATCTCTGTGCCTGCCCCTGATGAGGAGAGATGGCATTTGGCCGATGGGATGGTTTGTGCCTTTACTGCTGGCCGTTGGGCTTCAGTCCTCCGCAGCTCCGTCCCGGCTCATTAAAACCCAGAGCCAAATGGCTACACTGATGCCTGCTGTAGCACTGCCGGGGCCAGGAAGTTAAATGGATCTCCTAATCCTGCATAATTTATCTCCCTGTTAGCCCCTCATAAAACAGCCCGATTCAGCCCCACCACCAAGAGCTATGTTCTAAATTTCCTATTTTTTGATGGCCAGCCTTTCCCTGCTTCTCTCTTTATTATTATTATTAAAAATTATTTTCCTCTTGTTCTCCAGGAGTTGGCTTTAATGGTTCTTTCATGTGGAGCCTTCAGCTTGCACCCCACTTCACTAACAATCTGTCCACTTGTCTTGTTTGGACTTAATACCACAGAGCAGTTGGTGCTCCATTCTTCCCCCTCCTCTCTCCTCTCTGTTGTCTGTTGCCTTTTCTCCCTTTCTACTTCCAGCCCTTACTTCCATCATCTCATGTCTCACCCCACAAAAAAAATGTCTTCACCTTCCCTGACCTTCTCTCCAGGGATTGTTCCTTCTGTAAGATGTCCAATAGGACATTTTTTAAAGGGCATCGATTTACTGACTCTCCCCACCCTCATCTCTCTCCGTTTCTGTTTCATTTCAGAGATTTACAAACGAGGACCACCTGGCGGTTCATAAACACAAGCATGAGATGACATTGAAATTTGGCCCAGCCCGGACAGACTCAGTCATCATTGCAGGTACTCACCGATCCAGAAGCCACGTGCTTCAATATCACCCCACAGTTAAAATTAATACCAGGGACCAGATGTACAGAGGACTGCTTTTCCCTTCCCCCATTAAGAGCTTTTGTGTGATCTGCATTTAATCAGGAAAAAAGGAACACTGAAAGCTCCCAAGTTTCTGTTCACTCACTTTTTCTTCTTCCCTCCTCCCCCCCCATTTTAGTAATAAGATCAGGTTCTGCGGTTTTAGTGGTAGGCATATGAGGTTTTTTCTTTTTTTTTTTTCTTCCTTGCATCCATTTTATTAAGATTCTTGAAGATTTAGAGACAAAAGAGGCCTTTGACATTTCTCCCTACAGCCGATGAGGTGAGGAACAAAAGAAGGTAAGAAAGCTGACCCCATGTGGCTACTGCTTCTCCAGTGAGTGTCAGTTTTCCTGAGCCAGGGAGCTGCCAGTTCATAAATTCAGCCATTTTCCTTCTCCCAGCCATGGCTGGGAGCCCATTTCTAGAGCTCAGACAAGACCTTCAATCAATAGCACTTTTCTAAGCAAATTTGGGTGTCTTGGAGCTTCTCGGGAGTTGTCGGTCTCAGCTGTTGTCTCTCCTTGTGCCTCTCTCACCTATGCTGTCAAGCAGAACAACAGCCTGTCATATCAGGCACACCAGGCATACAAACTCAGGCAGGCTTTTATTTTTATATCAAACGAAGGTTTCAGACTGGCTAAGGGTCTTCCAAATAAGCACAGCTGGGTATTCTGCCTTCATGGAGGTTAGTTTCTGATCGTCCTATCAGACATGACCTTTTGAGGCAAAGATTTGCTCTCCCCCCTGGGCTGGGGGGATATTTTGACTAAACTTCAAGATCTCTGAGCAGATTGCCCACTTCCCATTCTTATAGCTTCATATGTGACTTCTGTGCTGACTCATAAATCTTTTAACTCAAAAATGATCTTTTCTCCTGAATTTTGCCTCCAGCTTCCTATTAGACATTCTCATTTTGATCACCTGTCACTTTAAAATCATCATGTCCAAAATAGAAGTCATCGTTTTCTCTTATTCCTCCCTCCTTAAAACCAACTCCACTTTCTCAGTTCTCCTTATCTTTTCTATTACCACTGCTACCAGCTAATAAAACAGCAAGCGTTTATTAAGCACCTACTATATGCCTGGAACTAGGAGATACAAGGTAATTTTGAGGTGGGGCAGACACTATAAACTGGGGGATCAGGAAAGTCTTCATGAAGGGAGTGACTTGAGCTGAACTTTGAAACAGTTCCTACCCTCGGAGAGCTTACATTTTATTGCAGGAATGGTGCTTACATATATAAGTAGAAACAAATTACATAGAAAGTAAATACGGAGTCATTTAGGGATGATGGAGATACCCACAAATGAATGAAGAGATTAAACGGAATCTCATGAAGAAGGTATCTCTTGAATGAACTTTGAGCAGAGCTAGAGATTCTAAGTGGTGTAAATTTCCCATTTTAAGCATGGGAAATAACCTGTCTAATAGTATACGTGAGGAATAACAGGCCAGTTTGGCTAGAATGTAGAGTATAAAAAAGGGACAGAGAATGCATGTGATAATCCCAGAAAGGTAGGTTGGAACCAGGTTTTGAAGAGCAACAGACCAGGAGAACAATTTGCACAGTAACTAAGCTCCCCCTTATACTCAGTAAACTCCAGTGTCTCCCTGTCACCTCCAGGATCAAATACAAAATCCTCTGCTTGACATTCAAAGCCCTTCATAACCTGGCCCCTTCCTACTTCTTCAATGTGTTTGTAACTTAGACCCTCACCACGTAATCTTTGATGCAGATGCCAGCCTCCAAAGTGTTCCACGTACAGAACATTCTACTTCTCATCTCCAGACATTTTCTCTGGCTTTCCCCTATGCCTGGAACACTCTTCTTCCTCATCTCTGCCACCTGGCTTACCTGGCTTCCTTTAAGAACTAACTTAAATCCCACGTTCTGTAGAAAGCCTTTCTAGTGTCTTCCCTCTCAATTATTTCCTCTTTATCCTGTCTATAACTTGTTTGTGTATATTTGTTTGCATGTTGTCTCCCTGTTAGACTGTAAGCTCCTTGAGAGCAGGGACTGTCTTTTGTCTTTTTTTCTATCCCTGGAGTTTAGCACAGTGCCTGGCACATAGTAGGCACTTTTTAAATGTTTGTTGACTGACTAAATGACAACATTGTAAAGAAAAATAATTTTAGGGGCAGCTCAGTGGATAGAGCACCATCCCTGGATTCAGGAGAACCTGAGTTCAAATCAGGCCTCAGACACGTAACACTTACTAGCTGTGTGACCCTGGGCAAGTCACTTAAACTTATTGCCTAGCCAAAAATAAAAATAATAATAATAATTTTGAAAGATTTAAGAACTCTGGTTAATACAGTGACCAGCCATGATACCAGAATATTAATAATCATGCTTCCTGTGCCCTGATGGAGAGGTAATAGATTACAAATAAAGAATAAGATATGTGTTTTCAGATACAGCCAGTGCATGCATTTGTTTTAAGAGGTGACTAGTTGTCAACAGTAGATAGAACATTGGTCTTGAATCAGGAAAACTTGAATTTGAATCATGCCTCAGATACTTAACAAGCTGTGTTAACACTGAGTCACTTAAGCATTTCAGTCTCATTTTCTTCATCTGTACAGTGGGGATAATTATAGTACCTACTAAATGGAGTTATTGTGAGAATTAAATGAGTTACTTTTAACATTCTTTTCTTTTTAAATATTGAGTTCAGATTCTCTCCCTCTTTCCCATCCCACCCACTGAGAAGGCAAGCAATATAGCGATTATACATGTGAAATCATGCAAAACATATTTCCATATTAGCTATATCAAAAAAAAGGCAAAAAAGAAAGCTAGAAAATTACACTTTGATTTGTACTCAGAGTTCATCAGTTCTTCCTCTACGTGCATAGCATTTTTTTCATCATGAGTCCTTTGTAATTTGTCTTAGATTGCTGTACCAATCAGAGTAACCATGTCTTTGGCAGTTGATCATCGTTACAACATTGCTGTCTGTGCACAGTGATCTCCTGGTTTTTCTCACTTCACTTTGCGTCAGTTCGTATAGGTCTTAATAGGGTTTGGTTTTTTTTTTTCTGAATCCACCCCCCCCATTTCTTACAGCACAGTAGTACTCCATCACAATCACATCTTGTTCAGCCATTCACCAATTGATGAGCATCCCCTCAATTTCCAATTTTTTGCCACCACAAAAAGAGCATTATAAATGTGTGTGTGTGTGTGTGTGTGTGTGTGTGTCCTTTTCTTTTGATTTCTTTGGGGTACAGACCTGATAATGGTATTGTTGGATAACAGGGTGTGCACAGTTTTGTAGCCCTTTGGGCATATTTTCAGATTGTTCTCCAGAATGGTTAGACCAGGCCACTACTCCACCAGCATTAATATACCTTTTTTCCCTCATCCCCTTCAGCATTTGACAGTTCTGATAGGTGTGAGGTGGTACCAATGAAATATAGTTTTAAAGTGTTAACTAATAGTTATAAGGAAGGGTAGTTTTTTATATTTTTTTTAGTTAGGCAGTGGGGTTAAGTGACTTGCCCAGGGTCACACAGCTAGTTAAGTGTCAAGTGTCTGAAGCCGGATTTGAACTCTGATCCTCCTGACTCCAGGGCTGGTGTTCTAGCGACTGCACCACCTAGCTGCCTCAAGGTTTTTGTATTTCTTAATTAGGGAGGGCTGTGGTGGGGAGGAAGCCAGTGATAATGATGCCAAAAAAAGAAAGCAAACATCAGTAATGAAGCACAGAAGACAACAAAGGTAATGCAGAGGGAAACACAGAATAAGCAGGACAGTTTTGAAACTAACATGTTTAATATATACACTTTAAAAAAAAAACAACTAGAGATTCACAGTTTGATATACAGATCTTTTTCTATTTATATATGGAAATGTGCACATTGGTTAGTGCTTGTCAAATTCAGAATAATAAAAAATAAAAATATTAGTTAGGTGCCATTAATTAATTAGGTTAGAAGGAACAGAGGAGCTTGTGTGGGACCCTAAAGGCAACAGGGAGCCTCTTCAGCTTAGTGAGCAGGAGAGTTGTATGGCCAGATTTGTGCTTTTTTTTAGGAATATTACTTTTTGTGCTGCCCCTTCCCTTTATCCTAGACATTCTGCTATCTTCCTGGACCATAAACATCTCTACCTTCAACATTGTTCATATTGTTACCCTTCTACTCCCTGCAAGGCAGGTGGGCAGCCTTCGGATTTTACAAATGAGAAATGAAAGCTTAAAAAGGTTGGGAGACTGCTTCCAGTCACACAGTGAATAAGGTCAGAAGTGGGATTTGAACCTAGGCCTCCTGGCTTCCCAGAGCTCTTGATACCCCTTTTTGTGTCATTTACCTGTGGAGTGTATTCTTTGCAACGATGGCTTATATTCATATAATACTCCAAGCTGACAGACTTCTTTGATATCTAGTATCTCATTTAAACCTTCTAAGAATCCTGTGAAGTTGTATGATTTCTTCACAACTAGGTTTTAGGTTGATGGGTTTTTTTTTCCAGATATGTGATTTCATTGGTATGAGGATCTCCTTTCACTGATGCAGACAATAAGTGTGTGTGTGTGTGTGTGTGTATTTTTCTATAGTTTGAATGACAGGAAACATGCCTTATGCAGCTGTTAAAGATCATACCATAAAAAATTTTGAGAACCAGATCAGGAACTTATGTGCCTAGCACTATGATGAGCATATTGTAAACACTTAAGTATTATTATTAATTGGGACCATCACGGCAGTGTCAAAACTCATCTCTTCTGGATTATTTTATAGATTAGGTCAGGAAGAAATGGAAGCCCGTTGAAGGTTACAAAAAACCCACCTGGAAGTTGAGAAATAAGATTTCTTATGGGGGATTGATTGTTGAAATAAATACCAATCCAGTTTATAAGACCTAATCCTTTACAGACCTAAACAAAAATAGCTTTAAAAATTCATTTGGGGCAGCTAGGTGGTGCAGTGGATAGAGCTTCAGCCTTGCAGTCAGGAGGACCTGAGTTCAAATACTACCTCAGACACTTGATATTTACTAGCTGTGTGACCTTGGGCAAATCACTTAACCCCAATTGCCTCACCAAAAAATAATAATAATAATTCATTTGGTGGAACAAGAGGTATAGAATCTTATGGGAGTCATGCCTCAAATTATAGAGTTATTGTCAACAGTTATGTACTAGTTATTTGGTACCAGTTTTTAAAAAAATAGAAAAGTAGATCATTTGTAGATCATGGTAGGCTAGACAAAAAATAATCTGAAATAATTGAATTCAGCCCACTGTTCAGTAAACCCTAAAACACAAATCACCTGGGAAAGAACTCTCTGACAAGAACTGCTGAGAAAATTGAAAAGCAGTCTGGCAGAAATGAGGGTTAGACCCTCATCTTTGTGTGTGTGTATGTATTGGTATTGGTCTAAACCTAATTTCTGCTAGACAGGGCATGGAGGGATAGAAGTGATCACTAAGAAAATTAATGCAACAAGGATAAGGAAGTGGTTGACTGGAGAAAAAAAATCATTGTGTCTTATCTCTGATAAGAATCTGATATACAAGGTATATAGCCAACTAACAAAAATATATAACACCAAAAGCCAACCCCCCAGTAGGGGATTTGTACAGATATTTGAATTGCAAACTATTAACAACCATATGAAAGAGTGTTCCAAATCACTAATAATAAAGAGAAATACAAATCAAAACAACCTGAGGCTGTCCCAGCAAATTGGCAAAGAGGACCAAAAAATGGAAATAGTAAACAACTTGGAGTTGTTGAGCATACTAATGCAATTAGTAGAACTGTGAATTGGTCAAACCATTCTGGAAAGCAAATGGGAATTTGCTAAGAAAGAGACAAAAATGTCTATTACCCTTTGATCCAAAGATACCACTTCAAGGTATATACCTAAAAGAGAGCAGCAATTAAAAGAAAGGCTCGTATACACCAAAATTTTAATAGCAATTTTTGTAGTAGTAATAATTCTCATCCATTTTGTAGTAGTAATGATTCTCACTCATTACCACAACACTGTGAATGTGATGGTATATTATTGTACTACAAGAAACAGTAAATGTGATACATATAGAGAAGTATAGGAATACTTTTACGAACTGATGAAGAGTGAAGTAAGCCCAAACAGCGGGGTGGGTGTACACAAGAACTGCATGGAAAGAACAAAAACAAAACAGTTGGAACTGAATGTTCTGAAATTATAACCAAGCTTGGTCCCCAAAGAGATAGAAGAAGACACTGTCCCTCGTACTTCACTCTTCTTTGCAGAGTTAGGGGACAGAAATACTGGATATGTTATCATCCTTGGTCAGTTTATTGTTTGAGTTGATTGGTTTTTGCCAAGTGGTGTTGTTTTTTTTTTTTCTTCTTTATCAGAAGAGTTGGCTGCCTGGGAAAGAGAAAAGGAGGGAAGAAATACATTGGGAAGTATAGGTGATGTAAAAACAAAAGGTGTCAGTAAATATTTATAAAATAAATGTAGTAAATATACAGAATACAAACCAAGTATCAACATGAGCAGTAGCCTACAGGAAGTTTACATGAGACTCAGGCAGAGGGCCAAAATGCCCTCTTCTGAGGACCATACCCTCAGCTCACCCCCTTATGCTCTAAGTTACAGTTTTGTATGTAGTAGTAAAGTACTTCTCTAAGCACAAAGGATATTACTACCCCCACACACCCAGATTTTAAGGGAAAGTGGCTTTATTGTTGGCCAACTGAAAGTGCTGGAGGACCTTTTAAAACTATTTTGGGAGATGGTGGCAGCCTTTTCAAACAGTCATATTCAGAAGGTGTTTTGAGAAAAAAAAAAAATCTGATGGTTATTTCCATGGAATATCTTGCTGAATTTCTCCTTTAAGCCTTATGTTGTTTGCAGAAGTCTGCCTAAGGATTAGAGGTATACAGTTTATTCTGAAATGGCTAATCCAACAGAGGAAAGTCTTGTTGGTATTGTGATCAGCTAACCAATTGGCTGCAGATAGAAAAATTAAGCAATCAGGATAAGGAGGAGATATAAATTTGAATTGAAAGTTGGTCCAGAAGGTACCTGTAGGCCAGGTATAGCCTTCCCTCCCACCTGCCCCTTCTCAAGGACAGAACTACCAGACATCTTTTAAGTGAACAAGGGCATGTTAAACACCAAAGGTAATACTGTACTTGAAGCCTTGCAGCTGGGACCAAAATCCTGTTTTCCACCATATACTGTGAATGGCCTTATGACTTTGTGAAATGAGGTGACTTTTTTTTTTTTTTTACAATTTCCTTTCTCCAGACTGATCCCTTTATCTAACACTGTCCAGTATCCCTCCATCCCTATCCCTAGCCTTTAAGCTTGCCCTGGATAGGAAGGAGCCTTGTCTCCATGTTAGCTAAGTGCCAGGATACCATTGCTTGATAGGTAACTTTAGCAAAGCCCTCACTTCTTCTAACCTCAGTGCCCTCACGATTTATGATATCTCTTTCCTTTTCACTACTCCTTTCAGTCAGGGAGAAGCCGAGCCAAATATTTTCCTTTCAGATTCATCAAAGATCTAGATAAAAAGAGAAGATACTATTTGATTATCCTAGGTTCTCTGCAGGCTTGGAACCTTCCTAAAATTTTACTTTGGGAGGTATGTTTCTTTATGGACACACAGAGCGAAACGTTGTTATGTGTTCCCCCTTCTGGCCACAAGACAACATTGCATAGACACTTAACATTTTCCATCTTCACTTAGTAGTAACTGTTTACTATTAAATAAACCAGAGTTCCATAAAGTTTATTTGCCTCCAGCACACAGTTTGGCTACTGATAAAGAAAATGTGGCTTTTGTAAATTCTCAATTTCTGATTTCTTATTGAAGCCCTTTAACCACTAAGAATGGAGAGAGAATAAGAGTTTGCGGAACAAAGAATAACTCTGCTATCTATACAGAAGAGTCTTAAATGCTTCCTATTCCTTTCTTATTTTACAGATCAGACCCCTACCCCTACCCGATTCTTGAAGAATTGTGAAGAGGTGGGGCTCTTCAATGAACTAGCCAGCTCCTTTGAGCATGAGTTCAAGAAAGCTGCAGATGATGATGAGAAAAAGGCAAGAGGCGGGAGTCCCACTGAGTAACTGGGGGATAAGTTTTAGACTTATTTTAGCTATATTTGTTAACTTTGTTGGCCCAGGGCCAATCAGGCTCAGGTTTTGATGTGGGCCAGCCATGCTGTGTTCTGCGGCCACAAACTGCTTCTAAACCAAGTACCAGAATACCATCACAGAAAGGCACCAGGCAAAGGTTTGGGCAATCACTTAGTATACAACTCAGTAATAACCCTACCAGTAGTGGGTCAGTAGCATCATCTTTTGGATATGAAAAGCAGGATGGTCTAGTGAAAAGAATATTGCAGTGGGAGTCCAGAGACCAATGTACTAATCCCATTTATGCCAGTATTTAGTGAAAGTTGTCAATAACTTGGGAGAGAGGCTGGGATTTTTGCTGGTAAAATATCTATTTCATTAGCCTGGAACCCCAGACTTTTCATTTGTGGTGATTTACCACACAGTTGATGCCACTAAGCCTGCTGTAGAAGCAGGAGAGACAGCGTCTGCCTTCCTGACCACTAGAAAATCCCTGAAGGAGTTTGGGACAACATTGCAATAGGAGTTAAAGTTGGTGGAAGGAAAGAAAGATGAATTGGAGATCCAGGGTCTGGCATATGTAGAATTCAACTTCTGAGTTACTGGCCTCTAGACACTGAATCTCTGAATCTCTGTAGTCTCTATAATCAGAACTTCCATATATCTGTATGGCTCTTATCCAATAAATGCATGCATGCATACGTATGTCCGTATGTATGTAAAATCCATCACAAAGATCCATATTCTTATCCCTGTTTTTGAGAGAAACAACTTTTCATAATGATAGAAAATAGAAATAGGGCCAGCATGTGTATACTAGAATAGAGTATGAAGAGAAACTAGAAAAATAGTGAAGGTGTTGATGTCTGTGGAGCCTGCCCTCTCCTTGCACAAGGGAAACATGCTGTGGGGATGATGAGGACAGTTGAACATGATTTCCTCCATCCAGTGTAGGCTGCAGGAATGAATGCAGGCCATCTACTGTAACCTCTTCACTGGATCTTGGGGTACCTTCCCAGTGACATTAGTTTCACAGCCATCTTTCTTATGAGCCTCCCTTAACCCTTCCCCTCATTATACTAATAAAGTGGAGGGTCTCAGTGGTATATTTGTGTCTTTTTAAAATAGCAGAACTAGCAGTGACCATTTTCCCTTTATCTCACACCACCCAGGCCCCTCACTACCCAGCTGCTACTGTTTGGATTCCTATAGCTTTCATTTTACAAACTACCACCATTGCTTGTAGGTACAAGGGGGAAAACAAAGAAGTAAAAATATTTCCAGTAGGAGAAGCTAGGCACCAAACTTGTTAATATGTGTTTTCAACCTGCCCATGCAGAAGTGGGCTCTCCCTTCCATTGATGGGAATACTCAGTGGAGTCTCCAAGAGTATTTAATGAGCCTAAAACCTAGCTAAATCATGGCTATTCTCAGAGGTACTCAAGGGGCTTTAGACAAACCAACATCAAAATTCGCTTTGGAATGTCTTGTCTGTTTTCCCTTATCATTCTGACTTTGGGAACCCTGGGCTAGATAAATTAGCACATAGAGGACCTGCAGGTCTGCTGAATGGGAAGATAAGGGCAAGAATGAAGGGAACTTACTTACCAGTAACTGCTTCCTATAGAAGTAAACACCATCTGAACTCAGCCCTAGAGAAAGAGGTTTCTAGGGACCAGAATCCCAAGGGAAAAGAAAAAAATAAGCCCCTCACTCACAGAGAAGCCAAGAGTAGAAAACAAATAGAACAAAGAATCCACTTTGTCATGGACTGCAACACCAACCTTCCTGTCATGGGGTGATGTCAGGGTCATTACCTCTGCTGGTTTATTGCTCCCCACAAAGCCATTTACAGCTCATGAGCTGATGGTTCTTCAGCCAGGCAAGCTCTCTCCTCCCCCTTCATCCTCCCTCCTGCCTTTTCCTCAGGCCCTGGTTCTCTCCTCTTTCTACCATCAGCTCCTCCTGTCTTCGTTGCCCCACTCCCTGCCTGTCTGAGCTCTGAGCCCAAAGCATTGGGCTTCCAAGTGAGACCACAGCTACACATGGGGAGTCCCCAGAAGGGTTCTTTCCTAGCTTGTTTGTAGAACTTTAATAGCTGGCTTGTCTTCATTACTTTTGATAATTGGGCTATCATATCATCCAGCTTGCTGGAGAAAAGGTTCATAGCTCCCCAGTGGCCAACAGACCTGGTCAAGAGTAGGCAGGAGTCAGGCTCCAAAATCATTTTACCTCCTGCGAGGGAAAACAGCAAAAAGAGTCATAAAAATAGCATGGCTCTGTGGTAGCTTTTTTTTGCTTTCAGAGAACCAAGGCATCTTCAGAGATACTTTCTTAATTTTCTAGTCTACGTTTTACAGATGAGGAACCTGAAGGCTTAAAAGATCAGACAGCATTTGTAGTCATGCAATAAGTGTGGAATCAGTTTTCTTGTCTCCCACTCCAAATGCTTTGACTGCTGGATTAGTTTTATGACTTTGTTTCCAAAGAAAAACCGTGTGGTTAGATATGTTTCTTTTTCTTAAAGGTTGTGTTCATGCTTACCTTTAGCAGGCTGCTGGGCCCTTGGACATGTCCCTGCCCTCCACACCAGACATCAGAATCAAAGAGGAAGAACCAGTGGAGGTAGACTCATCCCCCCCTGACAGCCCCGTCTCCAGTCCCCACTCCCCACCAGTAAAGAAGGTAAGATTCTGTCAGGAGAGCTCATAATCTTCTGGTAGGTGGAAATGAATAGTAATAGGTCCCTGATTATTGATTATGATATTTGTGTCCCACATTTTCCTTCACACTTGGTTTCCTTTGAAAGCTCCCTAAATCTGCACGAGACTGGCCCACACAACTCAATACGTATGTATTTTGAAGAGAGATAGCTTCTAGAATACCAGAAGATGCTTTCCCCCCCACCTCAGGTTCTAACCTAAGCTTTGCTGATATGTCCCTAGAATCTAGAGCTCATATTCCAAGCCAATTAACATGAGGAATTGTGACTTTGTTTTTAATGTGTGATCATCAGTTCATATTTCCATAGCTCCTTTCACCAAGAGATCTATCTTGGGAATCCTTATCTCTAACCAGTAGCCAGGGATGTTAGTTCTTTTGGTTGTTTGAGGTTGTTCAGGCATCAGGAGGTTTTACAATTTACCTCAGCCTAGGGTGAGAGTATTTAAGCTGGGAATAATTCTAAGAATCCCTGGAATTTACATAATACCTCTTCTTCTAAGATCTCCAAGTGATTTCCCAGCTGTCATCTCATTCATCAAGCCAACATCCCTGAAAGGGAAATAGCCAAGTGGTCTTAATCCCAGGATTCCCCTAGACTGGGTGAGTGAGGTGTGTGTCCCTGGAACAATAGGATGAGGTGATGATATATTTGGTAACCTCAGTAGCCTCTGGCTCTTATCCAGTAAATCTGTGCCAAACATTACAAGCTATAACTCCCTATCACCAGTCCCTTAAAACATTTTGTGATTAGTTGTTCTCTTCTCCCCAGGAAGTCACCTCCAAGCCCGCTGTAATCTCCACCCCTACGCCCACCATTGTTCGACCAGGATCTCTGCCTCTCCATCTGGGCTATGATCCACTTCATCCAACCCTCCCCTCCCCAACCTCTGTCATCACACAGGCACCACCTTCCAACAGGCAGCTGGGGTAAGTAAAGGGTTAAAGAAAAGCAGTGGGACCAGATGCTCCCTAGATGAGAGTTCTTTGCTAAACAGAGGGGCTGTTTTTGTAATACTTTTTAAAGAGAGGCATCCAGATATAAGCTATTCTCTTCCCTCAAAAGACTTGTTTTTTTTCTTTTCCACTAAAGAAACCCAACAATAATCTAGCAATTTCTGTGACCCTAAACAAAGGTTCTGGGGACTTAAATTTGGGCATTTGTAAAAGAGAAAGAGCCTCAAAACTTCACAAAGTTCAGCACAGTGATGGCTGGCCAGATATTGTGGGACAACACCAACCACTAGCTCTGGGCCCTATGAGTTATCTTTCAGATCTATCCATTCCTTTACTCTGGCCTCCCTAGAGCTTTGTTATTCTTGATTAATTTTTGTCCTCAGAATGCCTAATAAGAAAGTGTAAGATCCTATCTCTAGGTACCCAGGGGTTAAGGGATAGTTGTTGTTTTCTGGGCCCATTAAGGTAAAGGAAGGAGTAATTTGTTAGGCAGGGCAAAATAAGATATGGAGATGGCCAAGAGGGACAAGACTGGACTTGGCCATCAGGTAGCACAGTTCAATTTATCATTAAACATGATTACTTTGGTGCCATTCACTTGTCCAAGGCCAGTCAGTTTGTACAGGCCAAGGATAGAAAAGCTGATTTAGGAGGTATAGTGAACTCTTCACCTATCTAAGCAATGTATGTTTGCCTGTTTTGTGAGGCTTGGTGTAAAGGTATTGAGATTTTTTTTTCTGCCTTTACCATGCAGGTTGAGTGGCAGCTGAAACTGGGTCCTCATCTCTCACTGTTACCCCACCAGGGTGCCAAGGTTTCACAGAGCTACTAAGCACCTCTCCTAGATGGATTCTCCCAAGTAGCTGTAGTGCCCATAAGGGATTGATATTGTAACCACTGCACTTAATCTCTTCCAGGTCCCCCACTGGCTCCCTCCCTCTCGTCATGCACCTAGCTAATGGACAGACCATGCCTGTGCTGCCAGGGCCTCCAGTACAGATGCCTTCTGTTATATCGGTGAGCTGTATGGCAGAAGAGGCCAGCTTTACCAACTTTTTCTTCAGAATTTCTCTCTGTCTCTCTTTTTTTCTTTTTCTTGCACACACACACACGCACGCATGCACCCCGAAGACCTATGGTCTCCATTTTTTGTCACTTGAACGTGAACACTACACCCCACCTCCTCACCAGCCTGTGCCAACTTCCAGAACAAGAGAGACAAAACAAAAAATCACCTGGCCAGATGGCTTGTGATTTGAGCCCAGTACCACCCACTGACTGGCTGACTCCTTATACTCAGCACCTTCTCCCTCACCCATCAAATTCTTCAGGAGACAGCCCCAGTTTTGCACATAAAGATTTGCATAGCATTGAAGAATTGGCCTTCTGAGTCCCTTGTGTGTTTCCTTCTACTTACACTATATGTATTTTGGATGTACAATTTTTTGCATGTTGGCTTCCACGTTAGGAGAGCTCCTTGGGGGCAGGGACCATGCTTTCTGCCTTTCTTCATGTCTTTAACTCTTAGCTCGGAGGACATAGTAAGTGCTTAATATATGCTGACTGACTCTGCTGTGACATAGGAGACAGGCGTCCCTGTCTTGAGCTGCCTTCTGAATGTCCAGGAGCTTGTTATTACACAGGGCAGGCCTTGCTAAGTCTCAGTCTCAAAATAATTTAATATTGAAGAGATACTTCTCACCAAAAGCTTTGTCTTCCCTTCTGGCTTTTCTTCCCTCTCTCAATCCAGCTCGCCAGACCCATCTCTATGGTCCCCAACATTCCTGGTATCCCTGGTCCACCAGTCAACAGCAGTGGTTCAGTCTCTCCCTCTGGCCTGCCCATGCCTTCAGAAGCCAAGATGGTGAGTACATCCCAGGCAGGGGCAGAACTAGCCTTCTCCAGAGTGTTTGCTCTAAGCTTAGGTTTCTTTTAAAATTTAATTTTTTTCAATTAAAAATTTCTTTTTTTTCCCCTCCCTGGAAAAACAAAAAACAAAAATAAAACCCTTGTAATAAATATGAACAGTCGAAATAAATTCCTGCGTTGTCCATGTCCAAAAATGTCAGGTGCATAGCATGGTTCATTATTAGTCCTCTGGAGTCATGGTTGGTCATTTAAGCTTAGGCTTTTCAGGCAGTCTGGGCAAAAGGACCCCAGACCAATATTTCCACCTTCTCCCTGCCCTCACATCCTAATACATAGGCAGTGCCAAAGGAAAGAGGCAGCACAGACTGCATAGAGTGGAGCCTTGGCTGTTTCAGTTCCAGGGTGACAGATGGAGGATGGGCAGACCATGGGGGGAAAGGGGGGAAGTGGAGGTTGGCTATGTGGTAAACAGATACATGCCCAGGGCCTGGCCAGGTTCCACAGAAGAGCTTTCTGCTGAACCAAATAGCTCTCCAACCCCATAACTGTGCCCAGAATGAGAGCCAGAGAACTGGGGGATCCAGGTGTGTGTGTTCTAAGGGAGATTTGGGAGAATTAGTTTGAAAGTACTAGCTCTCCTCCGTAAGGTCAGTGTTCACTCAAAGTCCAGTGCTTCTACAAACCACACAATTATTTCTTTCTCATCTTACTTTGCAGAGACTAAAAGCTACTCTGACCCATCAGGTCTCTTCCATCAATGGCGGCTGCGGAATGGTGGTGGGCACTGCCAGCACGATGGTGACAGCTCGCCCAGAGCAGAGCCAGATACTCACCCAGCACCCTGATGCCCCATCCCCTGCTCAGCCACAGGTCAGCCAGGCCCTGGCCCTGCAGAGCACTAGGGCAAGGGACAGAATACCCCTTCCATACTTGCTCTTCCAGCGAACAAAAACTAAAAGGGAGTCAGAGCCTGAGCTCTCTGGGCACCTTCCTTTCTCTTCTCTTCTGAGTTGTAGCCTTGACTCTTAGGAATAGCAGGGCAGCTCAGGAGCAGAGAATAACTGGCACCATCTTTCATGTTCACCACCCAGATTGCTCTTACAGGCATAACCATGATTTGGGGGCTACTTTTGCATTGAGACCCAATAGTCTGCGAAATCCAGGAATATCCGTAGCTTTAGTAAGACTTCTCTAGATGCTGAATGGAGGCTAGGTTCCAGTTAGTCCGTATCAGACAGGTGGCAGCCTGAGCCTGCTTTCTCGTATTACATACTTTGCCCAGCCTCGCCTCTTCCCTTTTTCCTCCCATTTCCCAGTCACCACCTGTTACGTTAGTTACCGCCACATGTCCAAACATTGAATGGCCATATGCTGCCCTTCAGCCCAACCACCATAAAGCTGTGGGGTAAAAACCTGGGCTTGAGCTCTCTTGTTAACTCAACCTGCCTACCCTCCAGCAACATCCACTAGGGCCAGTCCCTGGAGAGATTAAAACAACCCCTCCCTTGAAAGGTACTGAGCCATCTCAGTCAAACGTGATGGTTTTCTTTTGCTCAGCCCTGATTCGTCTTGGTCAGTCTCTTCCTTTTTCCTCTGCTCCCAGCCCTAATGGAGGCATCAAGCTGCCTTTGAGAAAATAGGGAAGCTATTGGTACCATCTCTACTATGCTTTAGAACCAACTATACAAATAAGCAAATGTTTAAGGGGAGCCTTGAAATTCAAAGAGAAATACTGTAAAGTCATTGAGGACTAATAGTAGTAACTGATATTTGTATAATACCTTAAGATTTGCGAAACACATTATTTGAATTTCACAGCAGCCATGTGAGGTAAGGAATACGTGTATCATTTTCCCCACTTCTACAAATGAGGAAACAGAGGCTTAAAAAGATTAAGTGATTTGACTTGATCGTGGTCACACTCCTAGTAATTGTGTGATTCAAACTCAGCTGTCTCCTGATCCCAAGGCCATTAGTCCTTCCGCTGTAGACTGCCACTCAAGGAGAAGCAACAGCCAGAACGTCTCCTCCTTCCCAGCTGTCAGGTGTTGGATTCTGCCTTTCCTAGTGAATGTTTTTCTTTGTTTGGAAATAGTAAGGTGTACTACATCAGCTATTCTTGGGCTTCATGGTATGTAGGGGTGTGCCTTTTTTTTTTTCTCTAGCAGGTTGAAATTCCTATGAAAATTATCCTGTATTCCACAAGTATGTACTGAAAGGCAACTGATAGAAGCACACTCAGTACTATATGCACAACAAGCACTGTGTAAGAATATAAAGAAAATAAAATGATAAATACACAGATTCTCTGCTCTCAAGAAACTTATGTAGTAAGGGAGATGTGTACACAGATATAATTGCAGAAACAAATTCGACAAATGAGTGTGCAAAGTGCTAAGAGTTACGGAGTAGAAAGATTAATCCCAGCTGGGAGAACAAGGCAACTATGGGAGGAGGTAGCATTGAACTGGACTTTAAGGAAAGAGGCAGATTTTGAACAGGTGGAGATGAAGTGAGGCATTCCAGAGACAGGCAGAAATCCACACTGCTCAGTTTGGTAAGCAGTGCAGCTTGGCCCGTACCTGGAAAACAAAACGGAAGTGATGGCAGATGAGGCACAAGTAGGTTAGAGCCAAGTCGTAGAAGGTTTTAAATGCCAGGCTAAGGAGTCTTCATTTGATTGACTAAAAAATACAAAAGAGAACTTTTTGAGCAGTGTAGTGACATGATCAGAGGTATAAATAAGAAAGTTTACTCTGGCAGTAGGAGGTGGGGTAGATATGAAGTCAGGAATAGATGAGTTTGCTAGTGGAGAAAGGAAAGAAGCAGAGAAACCAAGGAAAAGGGAGGGAAGACTGAGATAGGAAGAGAGGGAGAGAAATGTTGGGAGGGAGGGGAGACAGACAAACAGACTTGAAGAATGCCTGAAGAGGAACCAACAAAGGAAAAAGAATAAGTAGATAAAGAGGTCGAAAGACCTGGAGAGAGGCATCACTGAGTTGGGAGTTAGGTTTGCTTTGCTTGGTCCCAGAAGGCAAAACTAGGAGCAATGGGGAGACGTTGCATGGGAGTGATGGTTAGGAACTGTGCCAGGATGGCAGCCATAGAGGAGAAAGTGGGGGAAGGGATGCACTCGATAAGGAGAGAATCAGGAGGATTTGTAACTCATTGGATGGATGTGCAAGGTGAGGAAAGCTAACTCATGAGGTTTTGAACTTTAGTGGTAGAATAGCTGGCTTGGCAGAGTGATCTTGAGTTAAGATTTGGTTGAGGTCTGTGTCTAATGCTCAGTTAGGTGAGTCATTTAACCTCTCTGAGCCTCTGTTTCCTTCATCTGTAAAATGGAAGTAATAATACCTGTAGGACCCACCTCATAGGGTTATTTGGAAACTCAAATAAGATAATGTATGGAAAGCGCTTTGCAAACTTTAAAGTAAATGTCAACTATTCTTTCTATGACAGTGGTGATATGAGGTATTATATGCAAATCATTTTGCAAACCTAAAAGCACTGTATAAATGTTAGCTGTTATGATTAGAGAAGAAATAGTAAGGAATGAGATCAAGGGCACAAGTGAAGGCCTTGGCAAAGTAAGCCACCTCATCTTCTTGATGAGACTAACAGGAAGAAGTACGGACAATAGGCCAGAATGCGGGTGTTTGAAGTGAGAAGGGAAAATGGTCACATAGGGCCCCAAATTTCCCAGTAAAGTTGCAGGTAAGGTCTTTGACTGGGGGAGGGAATGAACCTTGTGGGTTGAGGTGAGCCTAGAAGGGTTAGAACAGGGTTAATGGGACATGTGATAGGAAGTTCATCATCTGTGGACAAGAAGCTCAGGATGAGGAGAGAAAGTAGGTGCTGGAGGTGACTAAAGGTTAGAGGTAATCAGAACAGGAAAAGTAGAAGGACAAAGAAGAAGGGGCAAGTCTTTAAAGGGTAGATTGTCATATGTCGTTAAAACGCCTTACTATTGAGGTACAGCAAAGGACAAGCAAAGGAAGGAAAATAAACCTGTAGTACTGACAGGCTGCTAGAACAACAGTACAACAAATATTTGTAAAGTATTTAAGTGCTTGGGTTGATGCAGGATTTAGATAAGATGGTACTTGGCTCATAGACTAGTAGAGAAACAGGACTATTTTATAAGAGAGTTAGACTAGACAGAATTACATGATGATTTATTGTACACAAGAGGAACTGAGACCCATAGTGGTTAAGTGACTGGCCCACAGTCAAATGGCAGAGCCAAGATTTTAACTGAAGTCCTGTACCATTGATTCTCTCAAAAAATAACAAAATAAATGTGAAGTCTGAAGGGATTTCGGGACCAAGGAAAGAGCAGGTTTGGAAAGCAAAGGGGCCAGTGAAGAGGAAGGCATTGAAGACTGGAGGCAGAGGAAAGGTATTTAATTGCTCGAGTGGGGCCCTAGTAAAAGTAGGAAGGGATGGGATCAGTCACATAGCTGCATGGGTTAGTCTTAAGACTGTACCTTCTCTGGGGCAGAGGAAAACAGTAAAGGGAAGTAAAGGCATAGAGCAGTTTCTGAGGTGATGAGAGTTGAAGGAGGAAAGCCAATCCCCAGTAAGTATTTTTTAGTACCTACTGTGAGCCATGTACTAGGGTAGGTAAGTGCTGGGCAAACATAACCAGAAATCAGAGGACATCAGTAAAGTAGGAAGCGAAGAAAAGGTTTAGAATAGCCTCTTTCAGAGTAACATAAGAGGTTTATTGGTAAGAGATTAATAAAAAGATTACTATGCATCCCTAAGGGTCCAGATGATGAAATGACCTGAAATGACTCTCCTGGACAAGTTAAAGCCACTCCAGGATTGAAGATTTTGCAACAGATAATTGATAATTGATAATCTATATAAAGAATAGACCAGATTGTACTCCTTATGGAATTAACACTGGAAATTGAATGAATAAAAACATCTCCTTGCCAAGGAGATACAGTACAGTTGACAAGTGTCTGTTTGTTGCTAATCCCAGTCTTTGATTCTCCAGTTCTTTTTGTGTGTTTCACATGCCCTTCCATCCCCCCAAAAGTGTCAGTGTTGTGCTTTTCCCCAATAGAAGTTGCATAACACTCTGCTTCTCTTGTCTAATTTTATATTATGATCTCTATGTTTCTAACTTCTTACTTTCCACGTAGTAAGTTTTTTGACTTATTTTTATCTTTTATGTTCTCACTACCTAGCCAGATAACTTTTCACATAAAAATATTTTAAGTACCTATTTAACCAGCAAACCTCTGAGACTGTTGAATAACCCTTTGCTATTGGGGAAGGAGGGGTGATAAAAACCTAAATTCATTCTGCCCATTTCTGAAATGATCTGGGACTTCTCTACCAGACTCCCAGTGTTGAAAAGCACTGAAAAGAAGGGGCCAAGTCGGGGTGGCTAGGTGGCACAGTGGATAGAACACCGGTCCTGAAGTCAGGAGGACCTGAGTTCAAATTTGGCCTCAGACCAAACACTTGACACTTACTCTTGTGTGACCCTGGGCAAGTCACTTAACCCCAATTTTCTAAAAAAAAAAAAAGAAGGGGCCAAGTTCTCCTTCAGCAGCATGTCTCTTCTTGGGTAACAGGTCTCCCCAGCACAACCCACCCCTAGCACTGGGGGGCGTAGGCGGCGCACGGTGGATGAGGATCCTGACGAGCGGCGACAGCGTTTCCTAGAACGCAACCGTGCAGCAGCCTCTCGGTGCCGGCAGAAGCGCAAACTCTGGGTGTCGTCATTGGAGAAGAAGGCAGAGGAACTCACGTCCCAGAACATCCAGCTAAGTGTGAGTGAGCCCAGGTGATGATTGTAGTCTGGAGACTGGGAATATTGTGGGGAGGCTAGTGATTTGTCCCCATGGGGGCAAAAGAAATGGTTTAAAATACAGCTAGAGAGATTACAGGATATACCAGACCATAGATTGGGTGACATGTCCTTTCCTGTAAGAAATTAGTAAAATCTTCCTCAACACCACCTTGGGGACTGTAGTCCATAGTCCAGTCTATAGAAAGAACCAAACTAGATGGATTCATTAATCCAGCAAAATACAGCCCCTGGATGTTCCTTTCATTTTGTAATCTGCAGTATCCTAGCTGTGAACATAGAGCAAAAAGGCGTTCTTCCCCTATATAAGGATGTTTGAGGACTTCAAGAACCCAGAGGTTTGTCTATTATTGAAACATTTAAAGCAAAACTAAAATTACAGTGTTTTCTGTAGTCTCAGTGGCTGTTGCTAATGAGAGTGACCTCTCTTGGCCATTGCTAATTTTTCACATTCTTTGGTCCTATTTTCTATTTTTAATCCTAAAAACTACAGAATGTTACTGTGAGCTTCTACTTGCTTTAGATTTACTGTGAGAACATCTTTAAATTCATGACCATCCAGAACCTGGGTTGCTGAAAGACATTGCTGGCTTTAGAGTCTTTCTCAGTAAAGGAGAAACATGCCTTCCCCAGGTGCATTTCCCTGGGTCCATTTGCATGGCATTCCCCACTTCCAGAACCCTGTGTTCATGGTCCCAAAGGCACAGAGTGGAGATTCTCCCTGATGTAATCTCTTCTTCCTTCTCTGCATCCAGAATGAAGTCACATTACTGCGCAATGAGGTAGCCCAGTTGAAACAGCTGCTGTTAGCACACAAAGACTGCCCAGTCACTGCACTACAGAAGAAGACCCAAGGATACCTTGGTGAGTTGACAAGGCCTACAGCTTCTCCATGCAGGAAAAGTCAGTAAATCATAAGTGCTGAATGTGGGAGGAGGGCCAGGCAGGCAGTTGAAGAAGGGAGGCAAAAACATTTAAAAGTTCTGTTTTTAATCCCTATATGCAGAGATAGATATGCATGAAAAAGGCTTAGCATTCAGTTGAACTTTACTTTTCTACAAGAATGGAGGAGGTTTCCACTACAGCTCTGCTCTAATGCCCCATAGAGGGTGGGTGGTAATGGCTATAGGTTATTCGAGGCCATGCCAGCAGAGTATAAGTTGTGGCAGATCCCACCAAGCTGGAAAGAGACTTAGGCCTGTCATCCAAGAAACAGCCCCTGGCTGGGTCATCTGAGAGAGCTAGGAGGAGTGAGGTCTAGCACTTAATAAAAGCGAGTCCTCAGAAGTCAGGGATGGGGTGGGGTGGGAAGGTTATCTCCATGATGGGAGAGCCCATCACCAGATCCATCACCAGAAGCATGGAAGGAAATTATGGAGGGGAGGCGTGGCATAGATTGTTTAAGAAGCAGAAGAAAGGAAAGTCAAGTGTGTCTGTAGACCTTTGTGATGTCAGTCCCCTTCCCTCTGCCTTCCTCTTTGTTTTGCTTAGTCTGATAATAAAATTAGTTTGTAGCTCATAAGTATATCCTTTATCCATACAAACTAGGGGTAAGGGGAAGTGGTTCAGACACATATACAGGACAGAAGGAAATCAATCTGAGTTTTAAAATGTCTATTAGATAATCAGAAGTAGACTGAAGAAGTACAAATAAATGTACACATTGGCCTCAGTTGATGCAATTTTATCAGATACATTCTGGAAAAGTTGGATAAAACATTTTTTACCTTTTAAAAACTTTATTATCTTTTCTGATAATAAATTATCTTTTCTGATAAAAGATAAAAATTATCTTTTCTGATTAACTTTAATCAAAATTTTTAAGATGTGTACACAGAAAATTATTAGCATCAACATATAATACATAAAAGTCTCTTTTTGCTTTAAATGTAACATTCTTTATTATGAACTTAACCATCATCAACAAACACAGACATTTCACAAGATCATGATTAAAAGTTGGACAGAACCTCAGGCCATCTAATCCAAACTGTTCTTTTTACAGTTGAGGAAACTGAGACCCAGTAAGTTTAAATGATTTGCTCAAGGTACAAAAAATGAATCTGAATCTCCAGTACATACATTTTGTTTTTTTAAGTGTATCTTAAAATTTAACAAGGTAATAACAAATTGCCCTGTGTCTGTATACCCTTATGAACTTGTTTTTGTGTCCTTCTATATACTTTTTCAGTTCCCTTGTTCTTTTCTTTTTTTTTTTTTTTTCTTGGTCGCTCTGTCACTGTCCACTAACTCACTCCCTCTCCAAATACAAATCCTCTCATCTAACAAACAAATATAGTTAAGCAAAACAGTTCAACACTGGCCAAGTCTGAAAACGGATAGCTGATTCTGCACATCTCTTCCATCACTTCTCTGCCAAGAGGGTGAGAGACCTACTTCATCATTAGTCTTCTGTACTCCTGACTGGGCAGAGCTCTGGAGAATTTCAGAGTTGCTTTCTTTTACTTTATTGTGCTCAGCATGTAATCTGTTCTCTTGGTTCTACTTAATAAAACCAAGGAACATTTTGCCTTTATCACTATACTGTCTTTATACATTTAATTCTCCTACACACACCCTTTAAAAGCTTAATCAGACAGGGTGTCCACATGACCTTACATATTCATTGGTTATAATATACCATATATTCAAACATACATCACAATGCCCATGGGATTGGCTATCACCACAATTAATTTATCAGAATTCTCTGACCAGAAGATCCATGTTAAGAAGTTTTTTTTTTTAATTTTATCAATAATTAACTTAAAATTCAATATTAAACTTCAGTACAGCCAACTATTTATATTGAAATTAATTTCAGCATATAAAACATAACTTTTTGGTCACTTCTTCTAAGTCCCCATCAGGATTCTTTGTTCCTTCTCATTTATCTTTACTTTTGGGGGCAGCTAGGTGGCGCAGTGGATGGAACACTGGCTCTGGAGTCAGGAGGACCCGAGTTCAAATGTGACCTCGGACCAAACATTTGACACTTACTAGCTGTGTGACCCGGGCAACAACCCCAACTGCCTAAAAATTAAAAAAAAAAAAAAAAGAATAGACCAAATTTCTTTGTATTCACACTCCCCCTTTGTTAGACTTCACAGGGTGTGTATAGCTTTTCACGCTGAACCATAGAATCCTGCAGTGGAAATCTTTGAACAGCTGAGGATGCTTTTTCAGGCAAAACAATATAAACAATCTCTGCTTTATCCTAAACTGTAAACTCTTTAAGTAGAGTTGTCCAAGCAGTTAACCAAGTGATTTATCAGGTTTACCTTTTCTTGAGTGTATACTTGAGTCTCCAAAGAAGATTAAAAAAGTAAAGAAATAGTCAGACAGGCTAGATCCAATCATCAAAAGTTTGCTGAAGGACATAATTGTTTTAAAATGCCTTTTGGGACTGGAATGTGGATAGAAGGAACAAGTGTGTCACAACTAGGGATAACAACTTGTTAATAGGAGTAACAGCTGACACTTATGTAGCCCTTTATTATCTGATCTGATCCACATAACAACCCTGGGAGGTAGATGCTATTAATATCCCCATTTTACAGATGAAAAAACTGAGGCAGACAGTGTTACGTGACTTTCTCAGGGTCATACAGCTAGTAAGCTAGCATCTGAGGCTAGATTTGAACTTAGGTCAGCTTGACTTCAGGTCCATCGCTCTCTCCACCCACCGCACCACCAGCTGCCTGGGTGGGAATAGAGATTAGATAAGCTTGACTAGAACAGAGCATTCATATTGGTCTGTACCCTGTTTATATTTTCCCAGCACCACTCCAGCTAAGGATAGGAAGCATGGAATGCACTCTTCTTAGATGGTAACAGAGACCCAGTGAAGAAGTGTTTTGGGCATTCAGAATCACACCCCAGGCAGTGGCATATTTGTTTCTCCTCCTATTAGACTTTTCATTTTCTGTGACCTCTTTGGGCCGGCGGGGGAGACGCTAGCCCTGTCTGTCTCCCTGGTCTGTTCTAATTTCAGTTCTTTTCTTTTCCTCCTTCCCTCCTTTCCTCCTAGCAGAAAGCCCCAAGGAGAGCTCAGAGCCCACGGGTTCCCCAGCCCCAGTGATCCAGCACAGCTCAGCAACAGCTGCTAGCAATGGCCTCAGTGTCCGCTCTGCCGCCGAAGCCGTTGCCACGTCAGTCCTCACTCAGATGGCCAGCCAAAGGACAGAACTGAACATGCCCATACAGTCGCATGTGATCATGACCCCACAGTCGCAGTCTGCGGGCAGATGATGCCTCCTCCAGTGGAGAGGTCCTTGGCCAGAGCTCGCCCACCCAAAAGCTGAGAGAGACATCATACCTTCTCCTCCCACCTGCCTTGCACATGGGATGGCAGGGGGGGAAATTGTGTTTTAAGTGAGTAAAGGACAGTTATGGAGTTACTCTGTTCATCAACATGGGTCGTACACATCTGACCCGTGTACTCTGAGGGGCTTCCAGCCCCAAAGCATCAGATCACTCCCACCTAACACCCCAAGGTGATTTCTCATCCCCCTATTGCAAAAGGACTTCCTCAGTGGTGGAAATAACACCTCTCCAAGCCCCTGTAGTGTCCACATGCCCACCTGTTTAACACTAACATATCTGCCACCGGATTGGGAGAGTTTTTCTCTTCTCTTCTCTTCCCTTCTACCAAACTATAGCAGTCACCTTTTCAAGCCTAAGCAGCATGCTAACATCAGACTGCCAGAAGAACAAAGGGAGGGTCCAACTGGAGTGTGCTGTCCCATCCAGCTCCCTTCATGTGCCCATGCCCTCTCTGGATCAGCCTAGCTTGGTCCCCAAAAGCCACCAGCATTGTCCTCCCACCACCACCAGTTCAGATAGTTCTCTATTAAGAATCTTGGGTTGCCCAAATGGGCTTTCCTTTTCATCTCCCCACTAAGCCTTGGCAACCTCGTTTTGTGGCCTTAAATTGTTAGCTTTGCCTTGCAGGGGGAAGGGAGAGGATTCCAGAGCTGACTTCTTGTTTTCCCCCCATACCTCAGCTCATATTGTTGGGATATGATGGAGCCATATATGTCTACAGAAAATGCAATTTAAAATTTGTTCCACAAAGTCCTTAAGATACTAGCTTCTCTACCTTTTGCAGCAGTTAACTGGCCAAAGTGCACGTGCATGTCTGTATCTCTGCTGATTTCTCCCCCTCTCACTTTCTTCCTGTCCACACTATTTTCTCTAGCTCTCCTTCCATAAGTCTGCAGACAAAAGCAGCCCAACGCCAAGGTTGGTCGGTATGTTTACAGAAACCTGTGTTTCCTAAATTGTTTCTTAGTCCTTCCCCTTCTTTCAGCTTCACATGTCCAGCTAAATCTTTAACTCTGAAATACCCATCCTACTCAGCTTCTTCCTTCTCACTTCACCGCTGCCTTCCCTTATCAGGGGCCCAGAGTCCCAGGGCTCCTTTGGCCTGAGAGGCCGGGGCATGATATGGGTTTTCTTGGGTACAATGGAATGTTGTCTCAGGTGGGTACTTGGCTACTTAGGAAACCTCAGTCTTTCACGGGTAGGGTTAGATTGCAAGGAGGAATCCTCTCCCTACTCCCAGCCTCTTATGTGACTTCTGGTCTTCCCTGAACTAACTATGCAATATTGTCACAGGGCTAAAGGTGGCCATCCATGGGGAAGCCCTCCAGCTGCTGCTGTCTCCCTGAGTCACCAGAGCCCCCTGCCCCTCTCGCCCTCTGGAAGATGGGCTTAACTCCCGAAACAGCTGCCATGGAGAGTTAGGGTAACATTTTTCACTCCTTTCTCCCCAGATTACACATAAGCCAGGTCTCAATTCAGGGGCTGCAATGTGCCCTTTTTTGAACTTACCCAGATGTTTTTCAGGCCCAAAGCTGAGAAGGCCAACACATGGTATGGAGTCAATTTTCTCTTCCTCCTGGGGTCAAGGACCCTACAAAGTCCCTTCGATGACTCAGAAAGCTGCAGGTGTCACAGTTGCAGCCAGGAGATCAGTCATAGCCTCCGGCTCCGCATCTCTGCCGGCTTGGCCTTCTTCAGATACTCAAAGTCATAGCTCATTTTCAGCATCCCTTTGGCAAGTACTTTAGTGCTCTTTTTCCTACCTTGGAATTCTCTGTTTTGTTTTTCTTTTTTTAGCTTAGCACTGACAGCCATGCTGTGAAGCCTGGCTGTCTTTATGGCTCCTAAGGAGCTCCACAGACCCTGTCTGGTTCCCCACATCAAATGCTTTTAAAATTGAGGATCTTCCCAAGATCAGGTGTCTCTGTTCTGTAGTGCTGGCACCTCATTTTACCAAAGAAGAGGGTGTGGCTCCTGCCCTTCTGTCTCCATCTTGGAGGTTGGTTTGGGAGTATATTATTGACCCCCTTTAACTCCCCTTCCCCCAGGCCCAACCCCAAATCCTGGTGTGCCTATACTCTATAGCTCAAGAAAAGCATATGCAGAGTAGAGAACATCACAACTGTCTGCACCACTCGGGTTCTTTTTCTCCTTTTCTCACCCTCCTCCCAGAACCCACAGAGTGCCCCTCCACACAAGAGCCCCAAGAATGGGAATAGGAGAGGCAGCAGCTCTGACAGGACCAGAGTTGGTGAACACCTCAGCTGCATTAGAAAGCAAGACCAGCTGCTTACGCTAAAGTTTTCCTTTTAGCCTGCTGCGGCTTCACTTGGCTTGTTGCGACCACTGTCATCATCTTGCCAAGGGGAGCCTGAGATTGCCCCCAGGGTTCCATGACCATCAGGGAGAGGACGCCCAGACCCTGAGACCTGAGACAGTAGTTCTTAGCAGCTGTCCCAGAGAAGGGGCAGACGTCCCTAGCAGAATAGCTGTATGGAGGACAAGCCCCCACTTACCAAGCATAGCTCCTTAAAAACCACAGAGAGAAAGTGCCGAGCCATGGTGCCGCAACTCCCAAAGATACAACCTTCCTCTCCCCGTGAAAGGAGATTTTATTTGGAGGAAGAGAAGAGGCTTGGAGAGTTTCTCCCACCAGAAGAAGAATTAGGAATGCCCTAGACACCCTGTCCCTTGACTGTCATATTGACAATTCGAGTCTTAAGACTTGCAGCAGGAATGGCATCTGATTGTCTCCACTCTGCCTCATCTTCTGCCTGATTTGTGTCCCCAAAGATCACCTAACCACTAGGCTGTACCGTGGAGTGGGGTGGTGCCAGCTTCTCCAGCCCGCTCCTATCCTGTTCCTCATGAGCTCTCCCTCTTGGTTCCTCCTGTCAGCATTCACTACCAGCCATCTCAATGCCTCCCTACCCAAGGAGGGAACCCTTCCTCCCTCTACCCCATCCCAGCTCTCCAGACAGACAGACATCAGTTCCCTACTTCCACCCATACTGAATTCTTCTGGGGCATCAGAGTCCTATTCCTCCCAGCTCGACAATGAGAGATTCTTTTAAAACCCCTAAGACACAGGCCCTGCCGGGGAGCAACCTTATTTGGGTTTGCTCTAACCCCCCACTCCAACCTTGCAATGATTTTCTATTAATATTGTACATTGTATACACCGAATGGAAATAGTATCTTTGTTTTTTAACCTCATAACCTGACTGTTTAGAATTCAGTCTTCTGTATTGCGTACATATGCCTTTGTTGATGTGCTTCCTGCTTTCTTTGGACTTCTTTTGTGTCCAAGAAAATGTGAGGGAACTGGATGGGAAGCTGGAGAAAACTGCCCCACCCCAGGCCAGACCAGGGCTGGTTTCTTTTTTCTTTTTGGGGGGTTTTTGTTTTTATTTTTGAGATACTCTTCTCCAGCTTTTCTTCCTCTCTTCTCCCCCCTCCCCCAAACAAACTAGGAAGTTCAGTCCCCATGTCTACCTTGAGTCGATCTGTCATTCAGGCTTTTTGTTGACGATCCTGGCCCCAAAGTGGTGGAGAGGTGCTCACCACAGATTTGGGGAACAGGGGGCTGGAGAGGGGGGAAGCAGGGAAGGGTGGCCTGGTGCCTCATCAGTCACTTGCTATGAAAGAATACACTTTAAAGCGATGGTGAGAGAAGTGGCCAGGAACATGATACTTGGCATTCCCATAAGGGAAGTTTTACTCCTTTTTTGGTTTGTGTTAAATCCTAGTGGTGGTTTCTCAGCCCCTACCACTGTGACATTTTCACTCCGAAAGAAAAATCTTAAGGTAGAAGGTGGTTTGGGAAGATTGGTCTGTCCTCCCCCATCTCTAGCCCTTCCCCCAGTAGTGTTTAGTTAGGACCAGGTGTGCTATCCTGTATCTCCCCAGAACACAGAAAACAGCCTTTCAGTCTGGGGGCAAGGTAGAAAGTAGGGGAGCTTTAGTGCCTGCCATGAAGGAAAGAAATTGCAATGTCATGATGGTGGATCTCTCTAAAAGGAAACACTGCGTATCTAAAAACTATCTCCATACATCTGTATATCCTTGACATGTAACCATATCTTCCCATCTAACCCCCTCTCCCTAGACAGGGGGCTCTTCTCTGTTTCCAGGTTTCCCCTACCCTCAAAAGTGAGCTGCCAGGGGAGCGGGTTGTGCTGCCAGCTATTTTATTACCAAGAGATTTCTTCTTCCATTTTCCCTCCCCTCCGCTCCCTAAATCCGCATGACAGAAATACCCTGTGAGCAGGCTCTCACAAACTCCCAGGAAGGGGACGGGGCAAGGACTTCACTCTGCTCTTCCCAAGTTTCCTCTCCTTTGCCTCCTAGCTGTTTCCTCCTAGCCATTATCCCTCCCCCTCCTTCCCCCACATATATTGTGCCTTATTTAATGCTGCAAATATAACATTAAACTATTAACAAGAGAAGTGACTGTGTGTTCTGCTACTGCTTTATTAGCCAGGTAAAATCATTCAACTGTCCACCATGCTTTACTGCAACTGAAAAGCACCTTATATCCATGTTCTCTCATATCCTGTCCCCGAAGGGAGGAGAAGGGATTTTGTTCCTCAGTTTGCAGAGAAGGAAACAGTCCAGAGGAGGTAATTATTTGTGCAACCAAGAAAACAGCAGATGGCTAGAACTCAGATAGAGGCCCTCTTGTTTAAACAGAGTACCTCATGGACCCAATGAGATCATCCACTAAGCAGCCTCCCAGTCACCTGAACCACAAACCAGAGGAAGTAAGGGCTAAGGGGTAGTGTCCTCAAGTGCTTTCAGGGCCCATCTAATCACCCTGACTAGCCAGCCCCAAAGCTTTACCTTGGGTGCGAGCATCAAACTACGCTCAGCTCTCAGCGTGGTGAGGATGTTGAATACAGAAACAACCACAACCACAGACAAGGGCCAGCAGTTCTAACACAGTTAAGCGTTTAATAAGCACATACCATGTAGCAGTGGGCTAGGTGCTGGGCATACAAAGAAAGAACAATCGTTGCTCTCCAGGAGATGATGTTCTCTGGGGGAGACAGAATATTTCCAAATATATGGGGGGGGGGGGTTGAATCCTCACTCCTTGCGCTGTTTGACCCTGGACAAGTAACTATTGGTTATATTGGGCCTCAGACTCTTTATCTGTAAATGAAGGGATTGGACTAGATGGTCTTTTCTTGCTGTCAGCAACTTACAGCTTGTTACAGTGCAGGGTTGAGAGACACTTAGTGCCCAGGGAGATGAGAGAAAAAGAAAGGACTTCCTCCTAAACGTCTTCCTGTGTCCACCAGAGACCAGAATAAAAGGCAATGAGTTTTACATTGCAGCAGACAGGATCGAGGCATGATGCAAGAACCCACTCAGAGGACTTGAGTCACGAAGGAGTGCCACCGTCACTTAGGAATAGGAAAGGCCCTATGTTTCTGAGCCAGCCAGAGGTTCTTAACTAATCAGGACATCATAGCCAAGGACAGTCCCTGGAACCCTGGAACAGTCCCTAACTATCAAAGGGCTAGAGTTGTAAAGGCCTTGGAAAGAAAGAGGATTCCAACTTTCACATCTATCTATCTTTCAACCTTCCCCCTGAGTTGAATTCTATAAAAGTACTACATAAAATTTGTCAGGTTTCCCAATGGGCAATGGAAAGAAATATATGAGACCATCAAAGTCGAGATGTAGGCCATTCAATTAGCAAGATTAAGGATTAATAGATGGATGGTATCTACTAAATGTTTTTTAAAAGGGGGGGGTTGGATGGAGAGGGGACCAGAAAAGCCTCCAGTACACTGGGATTTACAGAAATGTCTGAGCAGGATTCACACAGGATGCAGAAAGGCATCGTACCCACCACGAGAGAGCTTGAGCAAGGAGCATCCGTGGCCCTGCAATGAGGAGCAGTAGCCACTGGGTGGCAGCAGTACTCCACCTGTGCTCGGAGGTGGGAAGCGGGAGTAGGTTAAGAAGCTCATTCCCCAAATTCTCTCCAACAGGGTACCCTATACAACAACTGGATCGACTGCATCCCCCAAATGCGGACGTCTCCTAAACCATACTTTCCCATGCACTGGCAATCCCAAGGCACTAGATTCCCTTGAAGGATTCTGTCACAGCCACAGGCCCAGAAGGGGATACAGTAGGGAGAAAAGCTGCCATTGGGGAGCGTAGGGCCCAGATCTTGTCTTCAGCCCCTCCTCCTCCTCCCCTCACGCGGGTCAGAGTGATGATTTAGGAGGAGTCCCCAGAAACCACCAGGTCATTAAATCCAGCCGCTTATCTTTAATCCAATCAAAATGGGGGGTGGGGGGGGCTCCCCACCAACCATGGTTAGAACTTTGTTCCCTGCCCCAGTGCTGCTCCCCCCTTTTCCAAATTAAACCCTCTATTCCTAGTCCTTGTAATGCAGGCTCCTCACCCCACTTCTCCCTAAATGCCTTCTGGAGGTGAGAGTATAGGGGGCGGGGAGCAAACAACCAGTCAGAGCTTTCCAACCTGTTGAGGAATGGCCAGACTTTGACAAAATGCCTGCAATTAATGAGTTTCTTAAGCTCTGGAGACAAGATTTAAGTGTTTAATAAAGTCAAGAGCTCCAGGCTTTAGGGCTGAGGGCCTGGGGCTGAGAGCTAGAAGTCCCAGGAGTGCCATGGGAAGGGATCCCAGGCGGCCCTTAATGGGGCTGAGCATTTCCGCTGCCAGCTCGGCGCCCCCCCCACCTCATCTTCGGGGGGACAACAGGTATAAGAGGCGGGTGGGGCAGACAAGCAGGAGAGGGAGAGAAGGCAACATGGATGCTGGCCGAGTGGCGGTGCTGCTGGTGCTGATGCTGATGCTGGTGGGCAGGGGCCAAGCTGAAGGACCAGAGAGCAGCAGGGACGGAGTTGGGGACCATCTTTTCATGGTAAGTGGACATCCATCAGTGCTGGCTTCCAGGACCAAGGGGCTTAAGGTCTGAATTCAAGTCTTCAATCTGCCAGTTCTCCCCAGCGTCCAGAGGCAGGGAGGGCATTCTCATTAAGATCACCTTCCCATTCCACCTGGGATCCAGCCCCGGCTCCTGACAAAGCCCCTTTTGTATGGGGCTCTCCCCAGCTCTCCCACATGAGTCAGCTTTTGTCAGCCCCAGCCCTCCCTCAGTCGCTGCTTCATCTGTCACAATCCCTGCTGCCCACTGGGCTGTAGGAGGAAGAGGACGGACCCCCCCATGGACAGGATGCCCAGACACCCACGGCTCTTCTGCGGTCCTTGCTACAAACCATGCAGAGACTGGGCCAGAGCCCAGCCTTTCTGTTCCAGCCCCAGAGGTGAGTCCAAAAGGGGACAGCTGGATAAATCAGGGGCTGGGGGTGGCAGGGAGAGGAGGGAAGGAAAGAAATGTGACAAGGAACACAGTTGGCTCGCTCAAGATGACTGTCTTCACAGGTTTGGCCGGGATGCCCAGAGGAGCCCCGGCAGACAGTGGCTGAGTCCCCAGGCTGGGGAGGGACCGAATCCTCTGTTCTGGAGCCTGGCTGCCCCACAACGCTTTGGGAAAAAGTGATGTTGCATTCAACAGACATGTTTTTGCATGCAAAGCCCACATACATGCCATCTGTCCTAATAAAAGCATCTTACTACCAGATGTATTGTCTCTGTCTGTGTCTGGTTTTGAAGGTTGGGAACTGTCCCCTTCCCCATTACCCCAACAGTAACCGCCTCTCTAGATTACTGCAGCCACCACGAGATGGGCTGATGACACCCCCACCCCCACCCCCACCCCCCCCCCAAACTTCTGAAAAGATGAAGTAAAAGAGAAGCAAGGCAAACAAGGAAAGGGGATAAAAAGGAAGTGGGGGGGGAACCATAAGCAAATAAAGACATCTCCCTCCCATCCTGCAGCCCTGGGAGAGACACAGACACCACCACCGTTAACAAACAAAGCAGTTGGAGAACCATGTTTATTCTGAGGAGACAAACAGGAGGGGCCTCTCCCCAATCACCCAATTTCATAAGTAACATGAACAGGAATTCAAGGAAAGGTGCAGGCCCACGCCCCAACCCCCCAGCCCCAGGCCTCAAGGCAGACAGAGTCTGTATCAGAGGTAGAAAAGGTACCTCTACCAGGCACCAGAGCTGGAAACCCAGCCCCTGAATCGCAGAGGGGCTGAGCCGGCAGTGGGTGCAGAGTGTAGACAGAGAGCCAACTGCGGCCAGGAGTCTGGCCAAGAGAACTCACTTGCCCCCAGCCATGATCTTGAGGTACTGCAGAGCGTGGCGGGCAGCCTCCCCCCGGGCAGCTTCCCGGGTGGGTGCTGAGCCATGGCACACTGTGGCTGGCTGTGTAGACAGTTCCACCAGGCACTGACAAAGCCCGCTCAAACTCAGCTCGTCTGAGGAAGGAGAGAGAGAAGGGAGGCAGAGAGGAACCACCCGCCCCATGCTGGTCCTCCCTGACTGCAAAATTCATCCCCCCCCCCCCAGCCCCCCCCCCTGAGCCCCTCCCCCATACCGATGTCCAGGTAGCTGACATGGAAGGCCTGTTCCTCAGAAAGCTCACTGAGGACGCTGCAACAGCCAGGGCCCAGGGAGCCCAGGGGGCAGCTTCGCAGGGACAGGATCTTCTCCCCAGCCGAATTGCGGAGAGAGTCCCAGGTGCAGCCTGGGCTGCGGCCGCGAAGGCTGTCCATTCGGGAGCCAATACCCTGACAGAGAGAGAGGAGCGTGTCGTCAAAGGGGACTTCTTCAGCCACTGGACCACTGTCCAACCCTCACAAGCTCGGTGACATCTTATTAGGCCCAGAGCAAGTCAGTAACCTTAGGCTTAAAATAGGGACAGCGCTCTCTGCACCACCTGTTGTGAGAAAAGTGGTGCTTCGCCCCTCTGTGTGCTCTGGTCTAATACAACATGCTGACACCGTTAGCGGTCAGAAGGGACACAGGACACCCGCCAAAGAGCATGACTAAACCCACACCAGGACCAGACGCTCCAATTCCCTCGCAAAGGGGAAACCAAGGGAGACAGACTGAATGATCTTGCTAAGGTCCCAGCGCTCCCTGTCTGACCCTGGGTGAGAGACAGGCAAAGGAGAGGGCTCAGCTGTCAGGCCCAGATTCCTACAGGGCCCAGGGGACGGACACTCACGATGGAGAAGTGGTCATCGTCAGGCTCAGCCTCAGGCCCATCCCTGGGGTCCAGGGGCACGGTGTGTACCCTCAGTAGCATCTTGGCCGCTGCATTGCGCTTGGCCAGTTTCTTGGAGGTACCACTGCCTGGGGGAACAGAGATGAGACTACTATCCTGGACTGCTATCCCCAGTCCTGCCAACATCTCCTATCCATGGGCTGCTGAGAGAGAGTGTGGATCCCAGGATGCCTCACACTGCATCATCTCTTCCTCCAAGATGGGCTGGATTATTGACAGGGATTAGAAAGGATGGTGAGGGGGAGGGCTAGCATCAACCCCATCTGCTCTCTCACCTCAGGCCTGGAGGCCCAGAGACCAAGAAAACGGGAAGGAGATCTGGGAAAGAAATGGGTGTGCTGAACAAGCTGGGGGAGAGCTGTTGGAACAGCAGTTAGGAGGTGAGAAAAAAAGGGAAGAATGGACAGGACAGTAGGAATGTCTGTGAGCTGGGGGGCTCTGAAGGCAGAAGGGGGTAAGAGGACAGAAGTTAGAGGCAGGGTCCTGAGAAGCACGAGTCCCCGTCCCTGGTCAAACACCCCCAACCCTCCTGAATCACCGATCTCGATGAAACGTTCCACCCGGCAGGTCATGGTAAATTCTTTTCGGTGCGCTGGGCCCGATTCCTGGGTCACTGTGTACTCAGGCAGCCGCCAGCCTTTCTGTACCACCAGCTCCTGGAGTTGGGGTGGAGGGAAGAGAGAAGACGGCATGATGATGCTGATAAAGAAGCTGCCCTTCCCTTGTGGGTACTACCATGCCCCTTGCCACACTCCCCAAGGGTCTGGGGTTCTAGGCCGGAGGGGAACCCAAAAGCTGGCACGCTGCCCCACGCCCCTCCCAAATCAGAGACTAACAACCTTGAAACACCAAAGTCAGGGTAATTTACCACCCCAATCCCAGTAACACAAAAAGAAGGGGGCAGCTAGGTGGCGCAGTGGCTAGAGCTGTGGCCTTGGAGTCAGGAGGACCTGAGTTCAAATCCAGCCTCAGACACATAACACTTACTAGTTGTGTGACTACTGAACAAGTCACTTAACCCCGATTGCCTCACCAAAAAGAAAAGGAAAAAAAAAAGAAGCTGATTGAGACCCAGGGGAGAGCAGAGGAAAGAAAAAGAACATACCTGTAAAGCCCCCACAGGGTTACATTCAGACTGCTGAGGAGAAACAGGGGCCTTGACCTCCACTGGGGGGCTCCTAGGACGGATATAAGTAGAGCTAAAGTCAGAGATAAGGCCTCACAAAATCTCAGAGATGGAATGGTCCTCCAAAGTCAGGCAGCCCAGGTAAAGGTTGATCCAGCCTCCGGTGCAGGAAAGCCCACCACGCCCCAAACCAGCCCATTCCTCTTCCGGAGAGCTCTCATTATTTGGAGGTTTTCCTTTCCATGGACCAGAAATCTATCTCTGCAACTTCCATGTCGTGCAGGCACCCTCTGGGGCCATGCAGAACAGGTCTATGTAACATCCTCCACCTTCCACATGACATCTTCTTTTTCCAGGCTAAATATCCCAGGTTCCTTCAGCCAATTCTCATCTACCACAGTCTGTAGACCCTACCCCAAGACTCAAATATCATCTGGCCTCCTTCCTCACATCTCCTCTCCATACCCCAATTTCAGCCTCTCTCAGCCCTAATGGGCAAGTCCTTCCAAACATCTGACCTTAGTCCCTCCCAGCTGCTGAAAACAGGCTTCCCCACCCTGAGAAACAGGGACGTACTAGCACATCATGAGTGAAGACACCTCTGCTCCCTGTGAAAAAGCTATTTTTAAGATCTATAGACTTTAGATTTGAGAATATGGAACATATTCTGACCAAAGAGAGGAGAGAGAAGGTCTGCGTGTTATCACTCATGGGCACCACTGTCCCAGGTCAAACATCTCTAGTCCCAAAGAGCAGAGCACGGAAATAGCCCATCTCTACAGGACACATGAAAATCTTCCTGCCCCCAACTCCACTTGCTGGTATCAGCTCCACTCCTCGTCCCCTCAAGGATCCCATCAACACCACTGGACGTCGCTATGAGACAAGGATAGACAGGACGGCTTCGTCTCAGTCTTAGCCTGCTGGAGCTGGAAAAGAGCTGGCCCAAGACAGGAGGGGAACCACTTTCCCCTCCCTTCATTCCTTGGAGCTCACGGCCACGGTGAGGTGGGAGGTGGAATGGGTACAGCAACAGGGGCGTCAGCAGACAGCAAGCAGTCTAAGGAAAGAAGAGAACTTCCCAAAGAGTAGGGGAACTCATTTTATCCACACCCTGCACTATCTTCTCAGGAGGAACCCCAAATTCCTTCCCTGCCCAAAAGAAGCCAAAGCCCTTTCTACCCAAAGAGCCAAAGGAGGTATTTAGAATTTTTGAGGTGTTTAGAATTCAGCATTTTTAGAAGTATTTAGACTGCTAGGATAAGAGGGAATACTGGACAGGGCAGGGGTTCCTATGGGAATCAACCTTCTCAAACAATTACCCTCCCTAAGGACCTCTGCTATAGGCAGCTGGGCGGTGCAGTGGATAGAGCACTGGGCCTGGAGTCAGAAAGACTCATTTTCTGTGTGATCCTGGATAACTCACTTAACCCTGTTTGTCTCAATTCCCTCACCTGTAAAATGAGCTGACGAAGGAAATGGCGAACCACTCTAGTATCTTTGTCAAGAAACCCCAAATGGGGCCTGAGGCTGAGCCTGACGATGACCACTTCTCCATTGTGAGTGTCCGTCCCCTGGGCCCTGTAGGAATCTGGGCCTGACAGCTGAGCCCTCTCCTTTGCCTCTGTCTCTCACCCAGGGTCAGACAGGGAGCGCTGGGACCTTAGCAAGATCATTCAGTCTGTCTCCCTTGGTTTCCCCTTTGCGGGGGAATTGGAGCGTCTGGTCCTGGTGTGGGTTTAGTCACACGTAGGCTTCCCCTGGCTCTTTGGCGGGTGTCCTGTGTCCCTTCTGACAGCTAACGGGTGTCAGCATGTTGTAATAGACCAGAGTAGGGAAGAGTCAGACACGACTAAAAACAACTAAAACAAGGCCCTCCATAGGAGCTCCACTCAGCCAACATGAATGACTACTTTTCTAAGACTCCTTCACTGTCTAAACAACAGGAAAAAAGTGTTTAGTTTGGAAGCTATTACCTATTAGACTAAGACCTCAAGTTTCAAGGCTAAATCAGAGTCTCAACATCGGGGCCACCACGCCCTATTAATGCCATGGGAGGCAACCCAGCTATTGGTAGATGGTATTCTGGCAGATGTATGGAGGAGATCAAACTGCATATTGTTGGCTCAAGTAGTAACTGGTGCTTGAATGGGTAGGGCAGCCTTCCAAAGGGCTCAAAGATTACTTGGACACACCTCACCTTCCATCTTCCAGAAATGGCTCCAACATGTTTCCTCCCTTCAAGTGCTTGAGGGCCACCTCAGCTGCTTTGTGCTTGGCAGCTTTCTTGCTGGGGCCCTGACCTGGGTAAGGGGCAGCAGGTTACACAAGAGCGAGAAAAACCCTCACTCCCATCCCCATCCCCATCCCCACCCCCATGCAGGACTAAAATCAAGCCATTCCAGAAAGACACTTCCCTGTGAGTGTCTGTTAATCGATCTGTTCTAGTATCTCCCAGTCTACTCTCAATCCTTCATATATACTTTTAAAAATCTTATTGATGCTTTTAAGAAATCTGTCATTTTCCAATGCCCTCCCCCCAACAGAACACTGTCTTATCTTAAAGAAGTATACTTAAACAAAGTAAGGTAATAACCATGTCTGACAGCATTCTGCCCTTTGGAGCTGTTTGGTCATTAGTTCTTCCCCCACCCCCATAACTAAAACCCACATTCTCTTGTTTTATCCTCAAGAGAAATGAATACTAGCTGATTTTCAGATACACCTGAGGTTCAGACACCCCGCCCCCAACACCTCCTCTCCCAGCTAAAGAATTCTAGTTGCCTGCCCCTTTCTAGAGTCCACTAAAATTCCTGTCCACCCCTAGCCTGGGAGGAAAGTAAAGGCCCCCCAAGGTGAAGACCTGTGGAGGTCCTGAGAACACGCACCCCTGGCCAGGGCACCCGACGCCCCCTCACCAGTGCAGCTGGTGTCACCGACGGTGACTCGGAAGGTGAAATTGGGCTGGTGGGCTTGGCCCTCGGCTTTGAGGAGGTCGTACACAGGAGTCTTCCCTATTCTGGTCCCATACTCCTGCAGAAGGCTGATTGGGGTCTTGCCAGGACTGGCCGCCAGCATTTGCTCTATACTAGGGGGAGGTACACAGACCTGCATCATGGCCCCTCTCAGCCCCCCACTGATGAACACTGCCAGCTGAGACCCAGGGGAAGAGGGGTGGGGTAGTTAGGGGGTCAGTGATATTGGGGTGGGGGGTTGGCAATTAGGGTCAGCTTCGTCCTTGGTCCTGAGGCCAGAGGATGCAACGAGGGGCATGATGACCGCAATCTGGGCACATTTGGGGAGTGAAGAAAGGGAACTTATGACCAATGCCCCAGAGTCTAGCATCCTTGTTTAGGGTAGGAGCTGTGTCCTTTGACCAAGTGCATGTTGGGAAACTCAGTGACCACAACCCTGGGGCATGCAAGAAACAAAGGGGGCCATTGTCTCGGTGCATTCTGGGAATCAAGCAAACACTGAAAGCTGGGTATACTCCACCAAGTGCATGGTGGGACGTTAGCAGTCACCACCGTGGTGCATGATGGGAACTGAGTAGCCAGTGCCGTGGTGGCTGCTGGGAATACCCCCTTCCCGTCCCGTGCCTAGGCTAAATACCTCTCCCCACCCCCAACCCCCAGCCCCAGCCTTCCAAGACCCGGTGCATGCTGGGTCTACGCGCTCCGCCTCCCTCCCGCACTGCGGCCTCCGCCCTGCAGGGGTCAGTGTGAGTCGGACAACTCACCTGGGGAGTCCGTAGCCTGTGATGATCCCGGAACCCTGCTCCTCCTCACTCATTCCCTCCTCCGTCCCTGCGGGCGCCACCGTGACTGCAGGCTCCGCGCGCCCCGAGCCGCCGCCGCCGCCACCAACGAGCATGGGCTGGGGCCGGGGCCGGAGCCGGGGCCGGGGGAAGGAGGTGGGGGACGTCGCGGGGCATGCCGGAATATGTAGTCCTCAATCCTCCCCATTCCATTGGCCTCCATGAAAAGCGAGGCCACCCGCCCCACAATTCTCCGGGGGAGTTAACCCACCCGGGTCGCAGTGGCTTCTGGGAAGAGTTGTCTTCCCCCCTCCCCAAACTCAATCACTATTTTGCCTTCCTCGGTGTGCGAGGAGGATTCTGTGAGCATGCGTGCTGGAGGATGAGGAGCGGGGCGGAGCCTGGAGAACTACAAGATCCAGAAGCCTCCTCGCAGTTGAACGATTTCCCCTTGAAGGGGTGGTGCCCAGCACGCGCCACGGGTACAGCCACGTCGATTGGCTCCGCTTGCCAACTCCCTCCGAGCGAGCTGCCTGCTATTGGCCCGCTCGGGGCTGAAGGGAAAAGGGAGAGGACCAGAGACTTGGGGAGCGGGTTTGAGGCACCGCGGAACATTGGGCGCTGTGGACTCTTTCCCGGGAGAGCCTGTGATTGGCTGGGGAACCCGCCCCCCCAGCGGGGAGCCCGGAGAAGCCGGCAGAACCCTGCAGTGTGCCGGGGTGTGGGGGTTTCCCGCTGGAAAAGGGAGGGGGAGCGGGGGCAGTGAGCGCTCCTAGGAATCCCCCGCGCCCCCCCCCCAGTTTACATAGTACGCACCCCACTCTTGCTTCGGTGCTCTGGGCCCCTGCCCTTGTTTTCGGTGCTTCATTCACCTGGCCTTGCCTGGGATAACTCCCGTGCACCGGGCGCCTCCGAGATCCCAGCACGAAGTAACCCTATCCCCTCCCGGTGGACCACCAGATTCCTCATGTTTCCTTTGTCCCCAGAAGTCTGAAAGAGAGGTGCCAATGCCAACAGGGCAAGGGAGAAGTCCCGCTTTCTCCCCATTCCC